AACATCTCAGACATCGATCCATTCATTTGCTCGCATATTATCGTCGGCTTCGCAACCGTTGATCCCAAAGACATTATGGTTCCCAAAGACGAGGCCGAAGACCCCGACCGGTAACTCATTGTGTAGTTATTGTTTAATAGATATCACAGTCATATGCACTTAATGTCTGCTATAGATATCGGGAGTTAACTAAACTGAAGACAATTAACCGCAAACTTAAAGTAATGCTTTCGGTGGGCGACGGAAAAGAGTCAAAATACTTCTCAAAAATGGTGGCCAACGATAATAGTCGGGACAACTTTGTGGCCTCAGTGCTCGATATGTGTGATATGTTTGGTTTTGATGGCATTGACATCGATTGGGAATTTCCGCACTTTAAGACCGGCACCAAAGAAGACAAACAAAATTTTATACTTCTCTTAAAAGTTTGCCTCATTTTTGTCAATTGTTTTACAAAATAATTGTTTTGTGAATTAATAGGAATTAAGAGCCGAAGGTATCCGAAGATTTAGAGATGATTTCATTATCTCGGCGACGGTCGGGACACCTCTAGTGATCGCAATGGCCTCCTATGATATACCGTTGATTGCCGAGTAAGTCGTTTAATACACAACTTTTTGCAAAAGTTTTGAATTAAAAATTTAATTTAAGATTTAAGTAAACAATAATATTTTCCAATTCACTGAATTGAAGGTTAATTTTAATTAGTGGTGCAAATAATGTGTCAAAACATAATCAATAAAACAGTAAAATATATTTCCATTTCAGTCATTCAACTCATTGTTTTAATAAAATTATATATTTTAATAGGATTTGTGTCATTAGTTAAAGAAATATATAATTAAATATATTATAAAATTTAATTCAGTTTTAACTCATCCGTGAATTATTTTATAACTATTCTTATCTCGTTTCTATCACTTATATAAAACCAAAACAAAATTTATTTATTAAATTAACTGTACTTTCATTTAAAAGAGTTGTAGATTTTGTAAATTTAATGTCATATGACTTCAATATATACCGATCGGATCGGCCCTATACTGGACATCATTCACCGCTATATCCGCGGCCAACAGAGAAAGGCTATTACTTAACGTTAAATGCTGTAAACAAACATGATCATTATTATTAATTATCTATAATTATCAAATTTACATTAATAACTTGCATATCCGCAAAGGCGTGGGCGGCGACCTATTGGGCTAATAAAGGGATGCCATTACATAAGATTATATTAGGAGTGCCGACGTATGCGCGCACCTATAATCTAGTGGTTCCCGTATCGCAGGGACTCGATGTGCCCGTCACTGGACCCGGCATTGGCGGCGGAAGACTAAACTGTATATTTGATAAACCCATGTATAGCTCCGTTTTCCATTAGTTAACTGACAATTTTCTATTGTATAACTGTTTAGACACAAGTGTTTGCAATTTCCTGTCGTCGGGTGCGACCAAAGAGTTTGATGTGTACAGTCAGGTGCCCTTCGCTTATAAGAATTTTGATTGGATTGCATACGAGAGCGATGTTTCGGCGGCGTTGAAGGCCCAGTGGGTGGTGAAGGCGGGAATGGGAGGCGTTATGACTTTCGCCCTTAATTATGACGATACCAAAGGTTTGTTTTGTTAATTTTTGTACACTTTATTGGATATACTGTACACTACTATACGGAAGACAGAGATTAATTATCTGTGTTTTCGGTTTAATTCCGCATTTAATCCCCAATTATATACTTTCCCTTTGAAATAAAAATCTTATTCTTAAGGCTTAAAGTATTTTCAACGCCTTTTTTATTGATTATTTGATCCAATTTTAAATCCCATGTTTTGCATCAATTGCTTCTGTAATGAGTCCTTTTGTTGAGATAAAAGTAATTAATAGTAGATTTAAATGAATTCTTTGGTTTTGGTTTACACATTTATTGATTATTTGATCCAATTTTAAATCCCATGTTTTGCATCAATTGCTTCTGTAATGAGTCCTTTTGTTGAGATAAAAGTAATTAATAGTAGATTTAAATGAATTCTTTGGTTTTGGTTTACACTTTTGTTCATTCATTTAATTTAAATGATAAATGAATTTCTATTTAAATAACAATAATATAATTTATATAATATACAGTTAAGGCTCCATATAAAACCCAAAAGAAATCATATGGATATTAGTAAACATTTANAAAGAAATCATATGGATATTAGTAAACATTTAACTTAATTATAATAATATCCATATTAAAGATATTATCTATAGTTTATAGTAAAGAGAAATGATTGTATCAATAGTTTTTTGCATAATTTATTTTTATAAAGTTTTGTAACCATTACTGTTAGCCACTTATAACCAATTACTGAATATTAATTTTAAAATATAACTTTTGAATTAATCATTGTTTAGGTGTTTGCAGAAGCGATGGCAAGAAGTTTCCCATTCAAAAGGCAATATCCAATTTACTTGAATTATCTTCAATTAAATCGTATAGAAAAAGTGGTCATTCGCCCGATGTTTCCCGTTATATCACCCGACAGTAATTTATCAATAGTTTCATAAATAATAGTTTTATAAGCGCTATAAACTATAATCAAAAATACAAAATACTTCGTAAATAAATGCCAAACATTATTTAGAAAGTTGTAAATTATTAAGCATTTTATTTTATGTTCATTTAATGATAGAGAGGATATAAAGTTTACATAACAAATAATTATAAAATTAGTTTTAAAAATATTATACAACATTTTGTAAAAAATTGAAAGAATAAAACATAAGTTTTTGTTTAAATATTTAAGAATTAATAAAAAACAGTTTTTCGTCAAATAATAAGTAATTTATGGTTTTGTCGGCAAAAATAGTTTGTAATTAAATTGTGTCATATCTTCGTTGGCATAAAATCGTCGTCTAATCTCCTGGAAGTGAATTAAAGCCAATTTTATTAAGAAATTAACGCCAAATAAATAGCTGCAAATTCGTTGACCATTTGTGATCAACTTGTGGCCAAAAGTTCCGGCCGTTTGGGACTCAAGAGCCACAGTCTTGAGAGCACTTCTCACATATTGTTCAGGAGTTGGTATAAAGAGTGAGGTTTTGATATATTTAGTCATTTTTGTGGAGACATAAAACGGCAAAACGCTTTGAATAATAATGCCTTTCGATTTATACTCTTCATTGAGAGCCCGCGAGAGATAATCGATGTATACTTTGGTCGCCGAATATAAGGCCAACAAAGGTGTGGGAAAATTGGCCGTAAATGAGGACACATTGATAATGACTCCGCGAGCCCTCGACTCCATCCCCGGTATGACTAAAGCCATAAGTCGTGTGCAGGAGATTACGTTAACGTTGATCATTGTGTCGATGAATTGTTTCAAATTAGGTATTTGTGTAAAATATTCGGGACATTCATTGGGGTAAGTGATGCCCACATTGTTCACCAAAACGTCGATTTCACCCAACGATGTCAACTCTTCGGCGATCGTGTCATAGATGTCGGCGCGCGAGAAGTCAACGGCCAGTCCTCTGATCCGGCATTTTGGGTGCATTGACTGTATTTCATGGCTTACTTTTGCCAATTTAGCGGCGCTTCGGCTCATCAGCAATAAATTATAGCCTTTTCTGGCAAATTGTTTGGCGTATTCGAGACCAATACCATCGGTAGAGCCGGTTATCACAACCCATGTGTTCCCATTTACTTGCCATTTGATGGATCTTTTGGTACATAAATCCCAGACATTTGATAGAAATTTGGATACCATTAACAGTAATATTATAATTAATACAGAAATTCCGATATATTTGCTCAAGTGTTCAATAAATGGCATTATATTAAACATTTTGTATTAAAATGTGAATTAAACAATTAAATATGAGTTTTAAAATAATCACAAACACAAGAATGTCTATTTGTCTTATAAATAATATGGTTGTTGTTAAAATAATTAATATTTACAAATATTATTTTAACACAATTAACATGTGTTTAACAATAAGTAATTTGTAATTAAAAATATTTTCCATAACAATATTAGAAATGTATTAAAAACGTCAAAAATAAAACTCAACCAAAAGTGTTGAGATAAGAACCGCAACTCATTATAATTAAAAGCTAATACAACTAAAGGCTTAATATATTCGCTGTTAATATACCTTAATTTTTATCCAAATTTATAATCATTGATAATGAATACGTATTTTAGTTAAAAATATGTTTACTATACTAACAAGTTAGTATAAGTTAAAGTCAAACATACAGACATTTATACTAATTTTAATTTTGGTTTAAATCCGTAAAACTATTTTATTTTCATTTTATTGCTTCAATTTTTGACTAAAATTACTTATTGTTCAACACATGTTAAATGTGTTAAAATAATATTTGTAAATATTAATTATTTTAACAACCATATTATTTATAAGACAATAGACATTCTTGTGTTTGTGATTTTTTAAAACTCATATATAATTGTTCCACATTTCAATACAAAATGTTTAATTTAATGCCATTTATTGAACACTTGAGCAAATATATCGGAATTTCTGTATTAATCATAATATTACTGTTAATGGTATCCAAATTTCTATCAAATGTCTGGGATTTATGTACCAAAAGATCCATCAAATGGCGTGGAAATGGTAACACATGGGTTGTGATAACCGGCTCTACCGATGGAATTGGTCTCGAATACGCCAAACAATTCGCCAGAAAAGGCTATAATTTATTGCTGATGAGCCGAAGCGCCGCTAAATTGGCAAAAGTAAGCCATGAAATACAGTCAACGCATCCAAAATGCCGGATCAGAGGACTGGCCGTCGACTTCTCGCGCGCCGACATCTATGACACGATCGCCGAAGAGTTGACATGTTTGGGTGAAATCGACGTTTTGGTGAACAACGTGGGCATCACTTACCCCAATGAATGTCCCGAATATTTTACACAAATACCTAATTTGAAACAATTCATCGACACAATGATCAACGTTAACGTAATTTCCTGCACACGACTTATGGCTTTAGTCATACCGGGGATGGAGTCGAGGGCTCGCGGAGTGATTATCAATGTGTCCTCATTTACGGCCAATTTTCCCACACCTTTGTTGGCCTTATATTCGGCGACCAAAGTATACATCGATTATCTCTCGCGAGCTCTCAATGAAGAGTACAAATCGAAAGGCATTATTATTCAAAGCGTTTTACCGTTTTATGTCTCCACAAAAATGACAAAATATATCAAAACCTCACTCTTTATACCAACTCCTGAACAATATGTGAGAAGTGCTCTCAAGACTGTGGCTGTTGAGTCTCAAACAGCCGGAACTTTTGGCCATAAGTTGATCACAAATGGTCAACGAATTTGTAGCTATTTATTTGGCGTTAATTTCTTAATAAAATTGGCTTTAATTCACTTCCAGGAGATTAGACGACGATTTTATGCTAACGAAGATATGACACAATTTAATTACAAACTCTTTTTGCCGACAAAACCATAAATTACTTATTATTTAACGAAAAACTGGTTTTTATTAATTCTTAAATATTTAAACAAAAACTTATGTTTTATTCTTTCAATTTTTACTAAATGTTTTATAATATTTTTAAAACTAATTTTATAATTATTTGTTATGTAAACTTTATATCCTCTCTATCATTAAATGAACATAAAATTAAATGCTTAATAATTTACAACTTTCTAAATAATGTTTGGCATTTATTTACGAAGTATTTTGTATTTTTAATTATAGTTTATAGCGCTTATAAAACTATTATTTATGAAACTATTGATAATTTACTGTCGGGTGATATAACGGGAAACATCGGGCGAATGACCACTTTTTCTATACGATTTGATTGAAGATAATTCAAGTAAATTGGATATTGCTTTTTGAATGGGAAACTTCTTGCCATCGCTTCTGCAAACACCTAAACAATGATTAATTCAAAAGTTATATTTTAAAATTAATATTCAGTAATTGGTTATAAGTGGCTAACAGTAATGATTGCCATTTTATGGCCTGACAGACCACCACTATAATAACCACGTCATAGTAAAATTACTTTTCTCTAATTTATGGCAATCAATGTAATGGTTATAAAACTTTATAAAAATAAATTATGCAAAAAAACTATTGATACAATCATTTCTCTTTACTGTAAACTATAGATAATATCTTTAATATGGGTATTATTATAATTAAGTTAAATGTTTACTAATATCCATATGATTTCTTC